ATAAAACCTTAGAGGAAATTGCAACATCTGTAAGCAAACATCACCTGTCAGCTGCAAAGCAGAAGAACACGCGGAGAAATAGAGGAAGCAGCATTTGACCAAGTTTCATTTTCAAGAAAATTACACATGCATTTTATTCAAAAGAGCCAGTATATAAGAGCGAGGAGAGAATAAGTCAAATAAACTGCTGTGCCCAAACATGCCATCACATGACGCACAACAGGGTCCACAGGAAACAAAGTGCATTGTTTTGAGGTTCCTTTGGAGGAGAGGAGAAGGTCTCTGTCAAGTGTGCCTTTGACCTCTATAGTGGTGACTGTCAAAGAAGTACTTACCAATTTCCCCTCCACATAAATATTCAGCAAACAGGAAAAAAAACCTTTGTCTAACTGTCTAGGTACTAAAATTAAACATTAAAACTTGCGGAAGCTCATGCAACAGCTACAATTACCTAAAAGGAGAAGTGACCAAGCCCCTTTACACAGTTTTTGAGCCACTTTGTTTGTGGAAAAAAATTGCCTGTAATAGAAAAGCGAGCTGCGTGAGACGAAAGGAAGAAATGAATGAGCAGCAGAATGAGATGGGTAGAAAAACATCTTAACCTGTTAAGAGTGTAAAGTGACAACTGCAAAGCATTGTGGCATAATACTGTATATAGTGTGAATGCATGGTCTTAATAGTATTTTTATAGTTAAACTGTAAACCTTAAACTGTACTTAGGCCATTCCAGACAGTTTTCCATATCCTATACCACTGCCAGAGCAAGATAATGGAAAATCCTTGTTTTGGCAACGGCCCGGGCAAGAGGGACATCCGTTACAGAATGTAGCGAGCAAGAATATGTGCCCACATCCTAGAATTCCCTGCTGCATGACATGATGTCTAACAGCCCCATTTTACTTCTTCAGAGGTGTTGAAGGGTTAGATCACCCAAAAATGGGTAAAAGATCACTAGTTTTATCTGCAAGATCAAACAAGATGCAATTTAAATTCACAATGACTGGGATTAAACCTTTTGATTCATATATATTACTTTTACAATCTCTTTTAAAGCTCACTTTTTAAAGTGTCTAAATTAAGGTGGAATGCGCTTTCGGTGGAGGGACAGAAATCTCTCAGTTTTCATAAAAAATATCTTAATTTGTGTCTCAAAGATAAAATGACAGTCAGAGATGAATGACAGTCTTCAGTTTGAAACAACATGAGAATGTGTAATTGGTGACCATTTCCATTTTAGGGTGAAATTACCAAAATTCGAAGATTTAAATATTTTTAAGACACTTGATTGGCATACTAGTCATAATCATTGAAGCTCAAATCTAGGGATTGGGCTCTTGATATTTACCTATTTAAGAAGGCATTTCCAAATGCATTGAGTTTACGGAAGGGTTTCTTGGGGTCCACAACCAAGGCATTTCCAGGAACAATCCCCTCGTTCTCATTGTACATCACAGCTATGAATCCATCCGTCGTTGGTTCAGGGCCAATTCGCATTCCTGGAAAATCTTGCTCCAGAAGATACCTGCAGGAGGGAGAGGTTAAGTATTAACAAACCACTACTTAGTCAGCTGGAGTGGCATGATCATGTGACAGCACATGCTAACAACAAAATGTCATGGTTGGGTGAGAATAAAAACGAATGGAACAAATGCTGCAGCGATTTATTTAAAATGCTACCCAATAGCCTTTAGGTTGAGACAAATAAACATCCAAGCTGATCAAGGATCAAAGCGAAACAGCGGCACTTAACCCTTGGACAAATGCTAGAACGTGAAAACAGACCTATTCATCAGTCTCACTCTTCCTGGATCCCTACCACATCCTGCCAGAGGATGAGAAAGTGTCAAAGGTTTCCAAGCAAAGAAACACACATGGCTTGTCATTAAAATCTATCAATAACATAAGGGAACTACGAATCAGACTGTATTCATTGTTAAATATGGCTGAACTACTCCTTAAGAGACATGAAAACCATTTTACGAGGGGAGGTGAAAAAACAATACAAACATAAGTTGTCTCTCGAACTCAAATACTTAGCAACTTATTATTTATTCAACTGCAATAGTGTTTAAACAGTCTTAAATATCCATCATTTTCAAATATGACCTTATGTTTTACATTATGAATGGCTGATTTGGTAATAAGCCAGTTCTAGTTTGAGAGGAGTTCAACATGAAACCGAGCTATTGGATTTTCTCATTCATCCAGAGACTGTCTAGAACAGGACCTGATGAGCAACAGCACAGACAACAAAGCTAAATAGTATTGACCTACAGTGAAAAGCCAATAAGAAGAATAATGATGCTTTTATGAGTTGTTTGCATACTCTCCAGCCTTCTGCATCTTTTCACAGATGAATGGACTATGTGAGCTGGCATAAGCTGTTTTTACACACCCCCTTGCCAGGGTTTGTAGCCACCACAAAGAGCTGACTGTACTGAACTTCACATGTGTACATGCTGCTCTTTGAGAAATTAAATAAGTACGTGAAAAATAAACTCTCAATGAACATACTTGTGTCTAATAATGTTGCAATGCGTTTCTTGACTTACTAGACATTACAATTCATTCAAGTTAAGAACATTGACAGAAAAGTATACTACTTAGTGTTTTGCTGACACACACCTATTTGTCAAAGCCATGCATTACCTGATGAAAGTGGTCTTCCCTGTGGAATACTGTCCGACCAAAAGGACCATAGGCTTGCTCTGGAAGTCCGCCTCCTCCAGCGCCGGTGAGTGGAAGTCATGGAAGAGGTAGGTCTCCTCCAAAGACAGAAGTTTTTTAGTATAAAGACTCTGAAGTCCTTCAGTCACTGTTTGAAACATGTCTCCCTCCTTGTTCCTTCCACCCTGTTCCTTATTCACCCAAGTGAACATGTTGCCGTTCCTCGCAGAGCTCTCTTTTATACGTGATGCAACCTTAGTTCCCTTTGTAAATGTGAGGAATTTAAAACTCCCAGTGTTGTTGTTAATTTTTCTTTGTTTGTATTAGTATTGACACTAGCCCGGTATCTACTGGCCACTGCGCGGACTGTCCAGCTGTGTGCGTGTCGCCGTGACCTCACCTGTGTCCTTTTACGTGACGCGCGGTTTCACGCTGGAGAGCTCCCGCTGCTGAGGGCGGGTTGTTAGGGCGGAGGCTGCTCTGCTGACTGCAAGGACTTTTCGGTGCAAACGAGAAGGGTAGGAACCAAATTGCTGACATGGAGAAAACCAAAATTCGCAATTTAAGAAATGAAATGCTTTCTCAATGTCATCCCGCAGTACATAATATAAGCCTAATTTAAATTGTTTGACAAAGCGCCGCAGGATATTTTCAAGAACTTTTAAAGAAGAATTTTAAAACAAATTTTGACAAAGCAGATAAACGTATTAACAGTATATCCGTTTTGTATAGCGCCATTATGGAGTGACGTAATTGTACGTTGTTTCACTGAGACCGAAATTCTCCGTTAAAGCAGCACTATGTATTTATCTGTATTTATGTTCTACTGTAGTGTTATCTGTATGCACCA